TTTATTTTCTTTAGCAATTGTGTATATTCTCTGTCAAAATAAAGATTGTCTGTAAAATATTTTAAAATGCACAGAACAAAATATCAAACAGATAAATAAATAAATAAATAAATAAATAAATAAATAAATAAAACATCCCCTATGCACACCACCACCACTTGATATAGTGATTTTAACTGCTCGACTAGCTTGTCATGCCTACTGTTTTCCTGGAATGACTTATCTTGATATTTTGGAAGGCCAGTTCCCAAAAAGAGAATTCAGTTGTGACTTAGCAACCTCACAAAGGTAAGGCAAAATCACATCACAAATGTGCCTACTTGAAACTATGGACACCTTGCATTTTTCAAGATACCACAAGCAATCAGCTCTGATTACTGTGTCAGTAGCTTGACCACATCTTAACTACAGTTTCTTCACTTAAAAATGGGGAAATGGGAAAGCAAAGAAAAATTTCACAACTTTAGAGTTTTGTTTGGTTATTTTAAAGCAGGGACCTCAGTCATCTCATTGCAACTCACATGAAGGAATTTTAATTGTCTGCAGAATGCTAATAAAGGAAGGGGAAGAAATTGAAACTTTGAATATGATGACATGTGTTTTTGAAGTTTACTCCAACACCATGTCTATTCTGAACACCATAGAAAAGACAGTAAATGAATAAAGAAATAGAGGACAGATGAAATCTCCAAAATAATAAAAACAGTAAACCAAATAATCACCACAAAAATCTATAATAATAATAATAATAATAATAATAATAGAGTAATATGCTAATTAGACCGAACATCCTTCCTGAGTAAGCCTTAGCAGGAGGGAAGGTAGCCAGGTCCTGGGTGCCTGCAGGTGGCCTGGGGGAAGCCACCGGGGTCCCAGGTGCCTGAGTGGCCCCGGGGAATCCAACCAGGGCCCCTGTGCCTGCCGATGGCCAGAGGAGGGAAGCCTGGGTCCTGGGTGCCAGAGAGAAGCCGGTGTCAGCAGCCAGGGAAGGAAGGCCTACTCTTGCATGAATTTTCATGCATCGGGCTTCAAGTTAATAATAATCAGCCCAGGCTGAGACTGGTAACTGTCTCCTCAATGTAGTAACCCCTCACTTGTTATCCCTACCAACAAAATAGACTTAAAAATCATTTGAGCCCTAATCTGTTTGGCTCAGTGGATTGAACGTCCGTCTGTGGACTGAAGGGTCACAGGTTCAATTCCAGTCAAGGGCATGTACCTTGGTTGCAGGCACATCCCCGGTGGGGGTGTGCAGGAGGCATTGATTGATGTTTCTTTTTTTTCTTTTTTTCTTTTTTAACATATTTTATTAATTTTTTTACAGAGAGGAAGAGAGATAGAGAGTTAGAAACATCGATGAGAGAGAAACATTGATCAGCCGCCTCCTGCACACCCCCTACTGGGGATATGCCTGCAACCAAGGTACATGCCCTTGATCGGAATTGAACCTGGGACCATTCAGTCCACAGGCTGATGCTCTATCCACTGAGCCAAACCGGTTTCAGCTGATCAATGTTTCTAACTCTCTATCCCTCTCCCTTCCTCTCTGTAAAAAATCAATAAAAAATATATATTTTTTTTAATCATTTGAGCCCCATTAATAGTGGACTCTGCAACCTCACCTTTGAATAAAAAGTTTCAATGTATATTTGCATTATTCTTAATTACAAAAGCAGGATATAGTTTGATTACAGGGGTCATATTTCTACAAGTCATTACAGTTTCAATTAATAATGATTAAAATTACACTTTAATATTCTTGGATTTCTGGAATTCTAAGAAATCAGGTTTCTAACTTGTGGAATAGTGTATATTATTAGGCAAGCCTATATAATTTAGGAAAGCATGAAAAATGTGCTTAATTTTCAAGGCATACTCAAAGCACACTATTTTCTTTCTTACAACTTGAACTGTCCTGTTTCTCACTTGTATTCTCTACATTGACAATAACTAAAATAACACCACTCTTAATTTTGAAAATGCTGAAATTAATATTAGCCAGTTTAGCTTACAAAAGGAAAAAGTCCAATAATGTATACCAAAAGAAAACATGGTTTAGATTTTAGGTGAATTTGACCAAAAAAAAACCAAAAAACCTTCATCCCGCAGGCTCACGCTCCATCCACTGAGCCAAATTGATAAGGGCCCCCCTTTCTTTTTAATAAGGAAATATGTTCAAGGGAATTCAACTGAGATCTTGACTAGCTGACTGTTAGCTCACAAGTACTCTGTTATTAGTTCATACTCTGCATAGTGCCCAGATTTTTATTTTACATTTGATATTTCAATACCTACAATGTCTTCATCTTAATGAATATTATTTCTCTACTTTTATTTAATAAGTAAAGTTTAAAATCTCTCATAAACTTATACAACATTGTTCTTATTAGACTCCTTGGTATTATATACTCCTATTTCCATCTTTTACAATTTTCATGGTATTTTAAGCCAATTTTAATATAAGTTTTAATACAAGCAACATTTAATCTATGCCACTCCTTCATTCAACAAAAATTTAAGGTGTATGTTCATGTTCTAAGCACTTTGCTAGGTGCTGGCACTATAATCATATTCTGACATCTTACTTTTACAATGCAATTTGTCAAAGTAACCTGCTTATCCATTTTTCTAATTTATTTTGTGTGTAGTTAAAATTATACTCGTGTAAATGCCTTTTCCTGAAGATTCTAAATATATTCACATAGTCACCTAGCCCTACCTTTTTAATGGAAAATGCCACTTTTTTTTTCTTTGTTTGCCTTAATCCAGCAATGATTTCTGCTATTGAATTTCTATCACTGAATTTCCCATCTTCCTTCAACCTGCCTTTAAAACCAACATGGTCAACTAGGGCTAGAGACATGGTAGAGAGAACAAATATTAGCTAACATAACAGCAATATCTATCAATATTGTAACTTTAACTAAGTGCTGCAAACTAATCCCTTCCCATTTTCTCAGCTACTTCATGAGATACATATTATTTTTCACATTACATGAGAAAATTAGACTTGGAACCCTATATGACTTGTTGAAATGCATACAACTACTAAGAGGTAGAAGCAGGATTTGAATCCAGGTCTGATAGATCCCCAAGTCTATTATTAGACACTATGCTAGATAACCATAAACAATCTCTCCATTACTATTCAGGATAAGTAGCAGAGTAAACAAGAAATGGCTAGGAAATATTCTATTCTCTGAACAGGGATAAAAGGAACTTTTTCAAAAAATAAACTTATTGGGCAACATTGGTTAATAATACATATTTTTCAGGTGTATAAGATTATAATTCAACATCTGAGACTAATATCCAAAAAATATAAATAGCTCACACAACTCAGTAACAACAAAACAATGACTAAAAATTAAGAAGAGAACATAGGGATGCATATATTATTTGATTGATGTTTTGGATACATTTTTAGAAGTGGGATCACTGGGTCAAATGGCAGTTCTATTTTTAATGTTTTGAGGAAACCCCACACTGTTTTCCATAGTAGCTGCAGCAGCCTGCATTCCCACCTGCAGTGTACTAGGGCTCCCTTTTCTCCAATAGCTAAGATATGTAAACAGCCCAAATGCCCATCAGTAAATGAATGGATAAAAATGTGTGACACATTTACACAATGGAATACTATGCAATTGCGAAAAAGAAGGATCTCACCCTTTGAGACAGCATGGAGAGTATTATGCTATGCAAAATACACCACTCAGAGAAAGACAATTACCACAGGACCTCACTTATATCAATATATGGAATCTAATGAACAAAATAAACTGACAAGTAAAATAGATCCAGAGATTTTGGAAGCATGGAGTGTACTGATGAATCTCAGAGGGAAGGGGGAAGGGTGGGTCAGGAAAAGATTAACCAAAGAACTTATATGTATGCATGCATCACCCATGGTCACAGACAAGAGTGTGGTGAAGGCCTGTGGGGATGGGAGTCAATGGGTGGGGGAAGGGGGACATCTGTAATACTTTTAACAATAAAAATTTTTTAAAAATTTAATTGGGAAGAGAGCCTGAATAGACGCTTTTCCAAGGAATACAAACAGATGGCCAACAGACATGTGAAAAGATGTTTAACATTACTGGTTATAAGGGAAATGCAAATCAAAACCACAATGGGATACCACCTCACACCCCTTAGAATGGCTGTTATAAAAAAGACAAGAAATAAAAAGTGTAAGCAAGAATGTGGAAAGAGGGACCCTCAGCCCTAACTGGTTTGGCTCAGGGGATAAAGCCTCAGCCTGCAGACTGGAAGGTCCCAGGTTCGATTCCGGTCAAGGGCTAGTGCGTTGGTTGCAGGCACATCCTCAGAAGAGGGTGTGCAGGAGGCAGCTGATCAATGTTTCTCTCTCATTAATGTTTCAAACTCTCTATCCCTCTCCCTTCCTCTCTGTAAAATAAAAAATAAATAAATAAATAAAATCAATAATTTTTTTTTTTTTTTTAAAGATGAACCCTCAGACACTGCTGGTGGGGATGTAATTGGTGCAGCCTTTATTCAAACAGTGCAGAGGTTTCTCAAAAACTTTAGATTTCTTTTTTGATCATCCATTCTTTGCCAGGTATTGTGAATGGCATCCTTTCCCCAAAACAGCCCAATGGTTGTGGGTGATAGGATCCCCTGATGGCAGGTAGAGGAGCCAGGCATCAAACCCAAGTTTGAATGTCTCTCCAACTCTCCTTAGACCGCCCCTGCCCAGGGCCCTGGCAGAGTCAGAACGGGAAGTGAGTGAAATCTCCCAGCAGAGGAGCACAGCAGTGCTGCACAGAGCAACAGCCTCAGTGCTCCAACTGGCTCTTCTAAAGGTGCAGGCAGTGTTAGAGGATGAGGTAATTTTTTCATGAAATTCTCCTTATTAGTGATTTGGGTTTCAAGTTTTCAAGGGTTTGCTTTTTAACTGCCATCAAGTCAAGAGAGGCCATAAAGAGAACAAGTTACGTATGAAACAGATTCAACATTAATAATAATAATAATGTGATTACCTGCAGAAACCTAGGGAGAAGGTGGTTTGATTCAATGCCAACATAAATGTGCAGCAACTCCAAGAGGGAGATGGATTGGCAAAGTTGCATCACAAGTCCAATAGCATAAAAAGTGTCAACCATTGAATCTGCGTCGGGGAAATTAAAAATACAGATATAGTCAAAATGAGAGCCCAACACACATCTCTGCAGCACGTTTAAACAAAATTGAAATTCTTTACAAATAGACGATTACATAATTAAGACTATGCAACTGAAGAAAGTGCTTCATATTATATTTTAATGGCTTTTCTTCCACAAAGAAGTAAAACTTGAAAAAGAAGGCACCATGGCCAAAACTATAGCATTTATTTCCCACATATGAGATTATAAAGCAACTTCCACATAAAGGTAACCAGCTACAGTAGACTACATCAAACGTAGACTGGTTGGAGGTGAGCTTATTAAAGAATCAGCTGTGCTCACAGCTTTTCCATTGACAAGAAAATGGGAAATGAGAAAAATAGGATTTCAGAGGAGCTTTATAGAAATGACATTAATGATGTCATGATACCAGATAACATCTATGTGTACTCAGTATGTATGTCCTATACATACTTAATGTTCTCTGGATTTTTGTTATTGCGTCTATTTTGGTGACATTGGTTAAGAACATCAGTTTCAGGTGTACATCTTTCTAGTATGATGCCAGCATTCCCTGTCGTGTGTCCACCACTGAAGTCTAATCTCCTCCCATCACCATGTGTTTGGTCCCCTTTACCCTCTTCATCCTGTCCCCAACCTCTTCCATCTTTGTTAGTTTGAAGCACCAGACCTCGGACCTCTGGTGGGGCCCTTTGGACTCTGCATTGCAGAGGGCCCAAATGAAAAGCCCACTTTGGAGGAAGCTGAAAGGGGAGGGGAAATGTTCCTCTAAATAGGACAAATATGTTGGTTGAGATTTTAAAATGAAACGCTGCCATGTTAAGAAACTTCCACAGGAGACGCTGCACTCTTTACTGCCTAGCCATCATAAATCATCACGAGCACTAAGGGTTTCTCATCTCAGCAGCTCGACGAGGTGGACACGGTTCATATCCTCCCCATTTCACAGGCGAGTTCTGAGGCCTGGATGGTCCTTCTCGTACCCGGTCCTTCTCATACCCGCCAGCCGCCTTCACTGGCCACGATCTGGCCTCATCAATTCCACAGCTCCGCTGAGGAGAGAGGAAGCAGGTGGTGCTTGTCCGGGTGATTAGATTACTCTAAGCTGCTTGCTTGATTTATACAATGATTCAAGAATTATCCTGAACCCCCGCTTAGCCGTTTTCATTCTGCTTTCCATATGTTTGTGTTTCTTTAATAGGCAGCTTTTATAATTATAAAAATTAAGTAATAAACAGATGGCTGATAATAAATAGGCAGCATAAGAAAAAGTTCATTGCTTGGGACTTGTGCTGTGAATGGCCTGTGAGATGCCCACAAAGCACAAGCCACAGCCGGCTTCCAAAGCCTGAAGTGATGGGTGTGGGTGTGTGTGTGTGTTTCTAAAAAGAAAAAGGAGTTTTCTCTGCTTAAAGTCACCCAACACTCAGTTGAAATTAAGACAAGAATTTTTCTGCAGATTTGCAGTACCAAAAAATATAGCAATATAAAATAGTTTATGGTACCTCAAAGGTTAATTAAGTTCCTGATGATACAGCAGTTGGGACTGATGAGCACAGCGTGACTTTTCCCAGATATAGTCTACACCTTTGTTTTTTTTAGCTGAGATGAGCAGTTGCTCAAATTGTCAAGTCACCAAACAGTCGTAAACTGTGATGACACTTACCCTTGTGGGGAGGAACACCAATGTTATTTTCATAGTCATTTTTTTTAAATTGAAATGCTATTTTGAAATCTTTACTTTTTAGGAAACTGGAAGAAGCTTATGATTTAAACCATTAAAGCCAACTCCCATATAAGGGATGAGTCACCTATAAGTGTGTGGTTTTCTTAGGGACACAGTAATCCTTAAGGGGATCAAATAAAGACCTGAGGAATATAAAGCTTCTCTTTCATTTGTCAGTGGAGTTACCTTAAACCTGGGGAATAAAGACTAAGGAAAGAACTTGGTTAATTTCTGATTTCTCTACACAAAATGTAATAGGTACTGAAATTTACATATTTTTTCAAAGCCCACCAAATCTGCTAAGGTTGGTGCAGAGCCAAAAAGGAAGAGAGAGAAGGCACCATCCCAATGCCAGGACTAGATTTTCAGGGCAAACTGCCCACTCAGGGGGAAGCCAAATCCCTTTTCCTCGTCTTACCCTCTTCTCCAACACGTTTTTGTTTTTTGCACTAAGCAAGGAGTATGTTTTCTGAAAACTGTGGTCACTAAGTATAGAGGAGTAAAGGATTTTAGGTAAATCCATAGACCAAAACATAAATGTAAGTGAGCTAGGCACAAACAAGGATTAAAAGGTAAAAGTCAAAAAGTGCCTTCGAGTTTTACCTTTTCCAAAGGAAAAGAATCTGGCTGTCATGTTAGTAAATATCCATGAGTGGCCACAGAACTGGATTAAGTAGTAGATGAAAAGATAGGCATTCTTCCTGTTCCTAAAAAATACAGAAAAATACCATTAAACACTTCCTTTATAACCATCCTGTCTGCCTTAATACACATGACCCAGAACTCACCTACCGGCCAACCTGAGCAGACAAGAGGAAAATTACTCCCTATCTAATTTTATTTGGTTTACCCCTCTAAGGCACACCAGATTTCGAAAGGGCCACTAACGAGTACCCCGAGTTGCTTAAAGCGAAAAGATGCTTCTATTTCAAAACCCACCTCATCTTTGATAAAGTGCTACCCTTGTTGCTCACCAAGGGGTAAAAGCAGGCATCGCAGAGGCTGCCTTAGATGGTTGGGAGGCGGTGGAGCGTGGGGAAGGGGTGGATGGTCAACATGAGATGCACCTGCAGAAGTAACTGGTTTACAGTTACAAGAGGGGAGCGGCGATGGCGGCCTTCCCAAACGGTGGGTGACTCGGTAACTGGGCACGCCTGGCTTGGATGCACTGTGATTAGTTAGGGTATCTCTCTGCTGCCTCCTATGTTGCAAGAGCAGATGTTTCCTTCAGACACACACAGAGGCCGTTCTGTGGCTTGGCCAGAAAAGGGAAGTCCAGCTGCTGCTTTGCTGGAGAGAGGAGCCGGCAATGACTGCCGGATGGGCCCCTGAGGGAGGCCAGGCCAGCGCGGTGTGGAGTGTCCCCCGGGGGTTCAGGAGGGCAGTGGGAGTGCCCTGTCCGCGGGGACAAGGCTTTCTCCTCGCTGGGGATGTGAAACCCCTGAAAAGTGAGGCAAGTGGGTTAAGAAGCAGACAGAGTAGCTTTAGGCTTTCCTGGGGCGCCCCGCTGCTGGAGGGGAGAGGGGGGCGCCTCCTTCACCCGCAGGGACCCCCCGGAGGCGCGGGGCTGGGCTCGGGGCGGTGCACGGGCGGCGGCGGCAGCAGGTGGGTCTGCTTTGCACCCGCAACGCGCTCGTCGAGGCAGGCCCGGTGGGAGGGTGGGGAGGGGAAAGGAGGACCGGCGAAGAGTTAAAATGTGGAGGTGGCCGTCCGTCCCCCCATTTCCTCGTCTGTAGAATAGGGGCGGAGGGGGAGGAGGTAACAGAGCCTATGTCCAGGGCTGTCAGAGGCCGTGCTAGCTGAGACCCGTGCAGGGCTCCGGGCTGTGCGGCGCTGGGCAGCTTTGTTCAACCGGTGCCCGCCCGGCCCTGGGAGCTGTCGGGGGGACCAGCCCTGGGAGAGGTGGGGGGTGGGGGGGGGACCCGCTCCGGAGGCCCCGCCCCCTGCACCCCTCCCCCCTGCACCCCCTCCCGCCCGCCCCGCCGAGAGCCCTACCTGGGCTGCAGCCAGGCGGGCAGCGCCATGGGCCCCGGGGGACCGCCGCCAGCCTCGGGCCGTCCGTCCGGGAGGAGCGCGGGGCGGGAGCGCGGGAGGGGCGGCCGCTGCGGAAGGGCGGGGCCTCTCCGCAATAAGCAATTTACAAAAGAAAGTAAAGAAAAACACCAAAGCCCGAGGTTGTGCAATGAGCTCGAGCTCCAACCAAGTTCCTCAAGTGGCGCCGGCGGCCGGCGCTGCACCGCGGGTGACCTCCCTCCTGCGGAGCCAGGACCTGCCCGGCCGCCCAGCACACCCGCGGCCCCGCGCTCCCGCCGGTTCCCGCAGCCCCTGCCGGGCGTCCTCACCTCCGGGACGAGGATCCGGTGCAGCCTGGTGGAAAGGAAGGGCCCTCCCTTCCACTTGGCCTTTAAAAGCACGCGATCCCGCCATCCCAGAGCCTCCTGGGTGCGTAGGCCGCAGGTGAGCGCCTCGCATGGCCCTCACCTGCGAGGCGGTGCACCTGCGAGGTGGTTTGGCAGGAAGGCTGTGGCCCCATCTATCCGAACGCCTTCTTTTCCCCTCCCGTGAGGCATCCTGGCCTCTGACTTCCCCTGGGTCCTCACTGAAGCTTGCAAATCCTTTTACATATTCATACTCACGTGTGTTCGCCTCATCCTTTGCTAAGATCCCGACCATCTGCCAGGTTCTATGCCCTCAAAGGGAAGCATCCCCAAATAAATAGAATCTATTTGATAGATAGATAGATAGACGAGAAAGTAGCTAAGAAGGCACTTCCAAAAAAGTGAGACAGTATCACCCAGTTTGGGGAGTGGGAAGGTAATACCCCTGTTTTACCTAAAGGGAAGTTTAGACTTTGACAATTGTTAAGTCACTTGCCACAAGTCACATGACTAATAAGTGGCAGTATTAGAATGTCAAGGTCGAGTTTGGTGGTTGTTCTCCCCATTAGGCCATAGGCCCCTTCCTCATAGTCTGCTCTGCCCTCTCACCTTATAGCCCTCCTCTCACCTGTGCATTGGCCTGCACCGTCACCCACACTGCCCTCTGCAGGGGTTCCCCCTCCCCTGCCCTTACCAGTTCCTCCCAAAGTCACTGCATCAGTTTATCCCCCTGTTACTGCCTCTTCCCTCATCTTCATCTTCCCTTTCCACTGGCTTTCACCAGTTTAGCAGCATACTCAAATCTCCCCTGCACAAGAATTAAACATTTTATTATTTCTGCTTCTCTCTTCATATAATTTTCTCCCTTCTTTTTCTAATAACTACCTGACTGCTCTCAAGATCAGATGCTTCTTTCATTTCTTTTTTTTTTTAATCCTCATCTGAGGATATTTTCCCATTGTGTGTGTTTGTTTTGTTTTGTTTTGTTTTATTTTGTTTTAGAGAATGGAAGGAAGGGAGGAGGGGGAGAGAGAGAAACATGGGGGAGAGAGAGAGACATATCCTTTAATTGCCTCCCCCAGGAACCCTGATCCAGGTGGAGGACGGAGCCTGCAACTGAAGTATGTGCCCTTGACTGAGAATCGAACCCCTGACCCTTTGGTCTAAGGGCTGACACTTCAACCACTGAGCCAAAGAGGCCAGGGCTACTTCTTTCATTTCTCAACTATCTTCCTGTTTCATAACACCTTGCAGTTTCCTTCCCAGCACTCCCGAAACTGCTCTCTCAGGGAGCTGCCCTAATTCCTAGGGCATTCTCATGTGAAACTATTAAGTTGGTGGAGAACCCTTCCACTAACTTAATAGTTTCATGAGCTTGGCAAGTTAACTTCTCTGTGCCGATTTCCTGATCTCTAACGTGAATATTATCACATATGGTTGTAAAGATTAGTGACCAGACAGGAAATGTTCAATCAATGTTTATTGCTATCACCGGAGGAGCAGCAGCATTATCATCACACTGTTATAGGAAGGAGGGGAGTGCAAGGGGGGAGGGGAAAGGCTGGTTGCCACTGTAGCATACTCCTTTCTAGGGTTTTATCCTCTGGGAGCAAAAGTATGTTGTAGAGACCTGTGGGTGAATATTGAAGGCAGTCACGATATTTTTACAATAAATCCTTCTTTGGGACAGTATGCTTTAGAATCTGTCTAACCGAGGCCACTGTGAAAACCAATAGTTGATGAATAGTAACATTACTAGGAGTCAGGAATGGGCAGTGGGCAGGCTGATGTTTATGGAGAACCAATGATGCAGGTACTATACTAGCTGATGCCCTATTGTGTGTGAGCCAGGCCAGCATTTTTTGAAGGAGAAAGTGAATTGTGATGGGAACCATAAAATGAGTGGAAAACAAATTATCGTATAATGTTAAAGATAATAATAGTTCTTCTATGTTTGCATAACATTTTTATATAGATACATTATCATCTTACAGATTCAATGTGGAATAATTATATGATCCTTATTCTATGGGTAAGGAGGGAATCTCAGAAAGATTGAAAGTACCAAAGATCACATAACTGAAAGAGGCAGTATTATGGGGTGAAGGAGTTACAAGATTTGAGGGACTATGCTCTAAACTGGAGATGACAAAGAGGTGTCTTCCCCAATCAATTGATGTTAGTTGTCTGGAGGGAGGAGGATGCTAGGCCTCACCCAGGTCAGGTGGCCAGAGCACTGTCCTTAGCCAGCAATGACTGCTGCGAGGGGGAGGGGAGTGCCATCCCCATGTACACATTATGAAACCCTAGGTCCTTTGCTTGAGCATGATGTAAGATTATTAGGGATAGTGATTTCCTACTGAACTTCTAACTGTGGCCTTGGGGGGAAGTCTTATAACTCCTAAGCATCTCTTGGTGGAGGAGGAGCCTGCGAGTGTGGGATGGCAGCATCTTTCAGAGGGATTGTGAGAGACCACACACGTACATAGGAAACTTCACCTCAAATACAAAATGACATGATGATCCTAAACTGAGCTGTCCTAACTGCAGGGCAAGTCAGCACCTGCCTCGCCATGAATGAAAAAGGGAACCACCGTCTCTCTGTACGTTAACTGCCCTCCTCGAACACGGTATGCGGGCTTGCCTTTGCTTAGCCAGCAGTGGAAACCTACTTCCCCTCTCTGTTGCCTTGAAAATGACAACCACATGTTGTCCCATTCTTTCCTCTCAGTTTTATTTTCCAGGTCTTAACTCATGATTGCCCTCTGGGTTTTTTTAAGGGTAAAGGAGTGTTTTCAATTGAAACAAGAGTTCCTGCCAAAATAAAAGAACATGAAAAACATGACTCTTCATCACATACTTGGTAAATCCCCTGCTCTCCATTTGAAATTCAGAAGTTGGGAGTTGGATTACCAGAGCACTTTCAAGTGCTGTTTGACGGAGAAGAAGGAAAAACACACCCTGTTTTTCTAAAATCACCGGCAAACTTTGGGCAAGCCTGAGTATTACCACTGTTTAAATACCACTTTTTGAGGGAGACTTTTGAACAAACATGGGTGAAGAGTCTACTGAGATAAACACTTTAATTAAATGATTGCTTAACTACTATTAAAAGGTGAGCTGACTTCATTAGAGTTTTCTAAGTGGTGGTTACTGCTAAACACTTTAAAACACATTGTTTTGACTAATGACAAGAAAAGATGACTCTTAAGTTCTTATATATTAAGAATTCCTTTGATGGTACCCAGGAAATTATGGTTGTAGAATCATGTCTTCTTTCTCCCATTAATTCCTTCTTTCCTACTTAGCATCAACATGAGCATCTATTTGTATTTAACATAATGAAGACATGCAGATATATACTAAAACTTCAGCTTTCTTCTTCTCAATCTTACATATATATTCTCTTATTACTAGAGCTTCAGCTGTGTCTGAGTAGAGGGGAGAAATCAACATAGCCACTAATAACAATACCTCACATTTATCTCTGTATCGGGAATTGTGCCAGACATAACATCTCATACCTTAAATCTTAAGAGAGAGATCATTTTATTAGCCACTATTAAAGTGATAAAGCTGAACCTCAGAAAGGTTAAGAAATTTGTTCAAGGTCACAATTTAGTGAGAGTTGATTTATAAACACAAGGTTTTAAATATGGATATATTTGCTTCAGGTATATTCAAACCCAGCAGAAAAAGTTCTTTACATTCAACCATAAAAGTGTGAGTGGGAAATTATGTTTTAAAACTACATCAAGGTATAAAATAATACCATTATGTGATTCTCAGAAATTAAACTGGAGCTTATAACTGCATCCAGCAGAGCTAGTTTTCATGGTACTGGTTGCTTTGCTGTCAGACACAGTGCAGTACACAGAATGTCAAGATGCAGCCAGAACAGATCACTCCTTAGGGTTGTGAAAAGATTGGAGACAATATATTTTCTCTTCAAAACTGAGATCACTTTATTGCTACTAAATAATTATAAAAGCCATTATCTGGTATGTTTTGAATGTGTTAAACATTCATGAAAAGTACAAAGAAGAAAATAAACCTATGCTTACTTCACTATTTCATTTACAGCTCACTACTTACATAATCCCAGGCTTTAGCCTATGCCTTTATATACATATATATTTTTCTCAAGAAAATGGGGTTACAGTTTGTATATTTTTTAAAGTGTATCTTTGCTAGTTAACAGTATGTTGGCTATAGAATACTCTCTAATTCAATACATAGTGACCTAACATAATTGTTTTTAATGGATATATAGTATTCCATTTTGAAATGATAGCATAATTTACTTAATTTATTTTCTATGGTTAGAAATTTATATTTACTCCCAAGTTTTAGGTATTACAAAGTCTGCACCAATAGACATCCTTGTAAAAGAAAATTAGATATTCTCAAAATTTGTCTCATTATCTTGTTAAAACTTTCTAGAAACAATTGCTGAATCAAAGGGCATACACACTTTTAAGGTTTTCAGCAATTATATTCTATTGTTCTCCACTATCATACCAGTTACTAAGTGTTTGAATATTCTAAATTATAACCTGAAAGTTGTATTACTTTGTGTTCAATGCCTATTTCTTTTTACTAATGTCGGGTATGTATTTATTATTTTTCAAACATGAAGTCAGTGACTTATGGTTTCTTTTCAAGCCCAATGGGTGGTGTTTGACATTCACAGCACAAATAGTTCCTCACATCTTTCTAAAAGGATCCTTCTAAAATTAAGTT